CGCGGAGGCGCTGCTGCAGCACGGGGCGTCGGCCGTCGCGCGCGGCCGCCACGGCCACACGCCGCTGCACGCCGCCGCCCTCGCCGGCCACGAGGAGGTGCGTCTGCGCATGCGTCACGCACCGCGTGGGCGGGGGCCTGCCCCCGTTAATAAGCAATACGGGCGCGTCAACTGCTGTTTTATAAGTGTAGTGCGTGTTTTTATCTCGGTATGCGTCGATTCCCCCTGTGCAGAATGAGCAGAACCGGCGCTAACATACCCGTCGACTTGCGAGGTTTTTCCCTCAACCAGGTATCTCCCACCACCGTGGCACCGCCCCAACCAGGACAAGCTGTAAGCTTGTAAAAAATTGTAGATGTGTTAGTAAAGGCTGAGTATGGGAAGAGGAAGAAATGATCGTGTGCGGAAGGGTGCTTGTTCGTTGGACTCCTGTGTCCGTCTGGTCGTGATCAGAGATACTACGGAAATCTACCGATCAGAGCAGTCGGCCGCTCGAATTTTCCGCCAGACAGCGGTTGAACTCGACCTGTACTTCAATTACAAATTAAATCCGTTGACACTTGGTCAGCTGTGATGCTATCATTCAATTGGATGTTAGTGTCGCAACTGATTATGTGTCAACGGACTTTATGTTCCAATGTTCAGAAGTAAGTATACAATAATCTTCCCCGATTTCCGTGTGAGTTGTGTGATTATCCATTATCCAAACAAAGTAGTGGTATCGGAATTTCTCTTACTAGTTAGTTTTCTGTTCTCTTTAGACTGCGCTAGCTTTTCGCTTTTGCTCCACACTCTTCCCAGCTACAACCTTTCAGAACCTAAAATCAACTTCAAGATTATGAAGTCATTCTTGAAGAAGAAAAAAGTTTCTTTTTTTGAATATTTACTTTTAGTGCTCATGTCGTTTTATAGTCTATACGTCTCCAGGGTGTTTAAACTTCTCTGTAATTTTTAATAGTTTCCGAACATGGAACTAAATCATCTACATATAGTAATCAGGGAATTTTTAAACCAATGTCCGACCCAGTTGTGTCCGTTTCCTGTACCCATGTCAATAAATCGTTTA